CATCTTTGATAGGAGGATCCATGCCACATGCTACAAAATGACCGAAACCTTCTCTGTTAGGTCTGGTCCACTCATAGTGTAGCAAGCTGATAGTTCATAGAATTAAGGTGAACTCTGTCTCACCATTTGTAATTGTCACTCATCTTTCAGTGACTCCTTACAAGATGACATGATGGGGGAGGGATTTGAAAGGATCGTTTTAACTCCTGGAACCTCACACAATGTAAGCAATCAGAAACTTAATCGTCTAATTAACTCTTCCTACTTGAACCACACTCAACGAATTGAATGCAAATGAAGGTAACTGAAAAAATTAAAAGAATAAAAAAGACGTCACGGCTTATCCAATAAACTAATTTCAACTTCTTGACTCAAAAGGTGGTCTAAAGCTCTCTCACTTGAAAAACGTTTAAAAAAACATTCACCCTCAAAATTACCAAAAGCTAACTTAACAATAAACTGAAATTTTTATTGATCTCAAGATTGTAAGTTATGATTACAAACCTAATTGAGAAGCCTTTATATGGGCCTTACTAGACTAATAGGACTAAAAGTAGGATTACATATTCCTACTTAGAATCTTAAACTTAATTAGACTAGGAAACAACAAAAATATTAATTAAATAATCTAATCCTAATCTAAACTTGAATTAAATAATCAAAATAAATACTAATTTACTTGAATAAGACTTCTCTTCCTCTTGGCCAAATCTCCATGTGATTTATCCTCTTTTGAACTTCAAATTTGTGTAGAAATCCTCTTGAAGTGCAGCATAGGAAACACATGTGGAAAAGGACAAGTGAGAGGAGTCCTTCTTGGGTTCTCATTCCCCTTGCCCGCATGCTTCACCCGTGCAGGCAAGGCGTCCTGCATGCACGCAGCTTGTGTGCATGCGGCTCCGCATGCGTGCAGTTGCACGTGTATGTAGGTTGCTTATCCTGCACAAGCATACATTCCTATTGTACGACACAGCTCATCCCACGCACTCAAACTTTTTCCACGCATGTGTGGCCCATGGGTGCAAGCTGATCATCCCGCATAAGTGCACAATTGTGCGTGCGGCCAATGGGCCTCCAAGGCCGCAACATAGCTCGGTCTTCTTCCTTTTGGCACGATCTCCTTGAACCATGACCCTTCTTGGCCATGAGGCCTTGATCTGCCTTTGGCTTGGACCAACGCTTGGTCCTTCTCCTTCTAGGCGAACCTCCAAGCCCACAGGTTTCTCCTTGAGTTTCTAGCTCGCTTTCTTGCTTTGTTTCAGGCTTGCTTTGTGGACGACTTTGTTTAGGAAAGTATTTAGGGGTGACCTTACTTTCCTGTTTTGAATAATCTGTTTAGGAAACAAAGTATACCTAGAATTGCTTTCCTTCTCAATGTGGACTTGGTGGTTCCTTACGGACAACCTCAATTCGAGGGCACCTCAATTCGTGGAGGCCTTTGGGATGCTTGTTAAGTGGCTATGAAATTATAGACATTGTCAAGTGGCTGGGAAGATGGTTTAGGACAATAAAAAAGTTTTCATAATCATAATCATCTTATCCAATATTAGTAATCTTACATGAGGCTAGCTCAGCATCCATCTTCTCATTCTATATTCTATCATGCACGCAAATCATCCACAGTTGCATAAAAACTTAATTACCAAGCAGAAATTATTAGCTGAGAAAACTGACCATGATAATAGCTGAGAGCGAAGACACCTGCCTGTGGAGATCCATTGGAAGTATAACCAATATCAAATTATCAACAGCGTTGTCAAAGTGGAAATTTTGAGCCCATTGACTATGTAAAATTAAAAAAAAAAGTAAATTACCAACTACGGGATCAAGTTGTATCATCTTTCCTGAACAGAAAGCCAAGATTTCTGTTTCTTGTCCCTATTTGTTCTCTTGGATCTGGTCATCTTCATAAGAAAGCTGGTGGAAGATCCCCTTTACTCATGTTTATGTTTTGGATGGCTGTTGTTAGAGGAACAAGATTGCTATGCTACCACGCGAGCTCCAAAAACTAAAAGGTTGGTCACCTTGGGCTAAGTTCTATCATATCATTGAGTTTACCTGTGTGGTTCTAGATTGGACCGGTTCAGGAGCCAGGTGGGAAGTGATTATGTAGGGGACGCCCATCTTTTGTGTTAGACTATAATTGTGATTGTTATGCATTTTGTGTCTAGGTGGCAAGATGCTTGTACCCTTCTCCTATCATGTAGTTTGGGGTGGTTGATCTTTGGGTAACCAGCTCCTTTACAGTAGGCTTGTACATCTTCTTAAAAGAAAAAAAGGTAGGCTTATACATTTTTTATTATCAATAAGAGACTTACTTTTCAGAAGGAAATATTTCCTGGACGGAAAGAAAATTCATCAAAAGATGCACTAATTCAGTAGCAAAAACAAGATTTCCTACTAATTATAATCACTTATCACTCTGACAGAAAAAATATATACATATGTATATATCCCTAAATCAATCACAAATCTAGGAAAATTATATCAAAGTGCCTTAAGATTTTAAATATTTACCATGAAAACATTTTAGGCAATTACCTGGAGCATCTCAACCTACATATCTGACTGTGGCATAAATGAAAAGAGAAAAGTAAAGGTCAAAGCTGTATTAAGCAAGTTAAGTGAATATTATTTTAACAATCAATCTCCATGATAGGAGGCAACTCAATCAATGTCAAATATCTCATATAAGCAAAGTTCATATCAGTGTGTAACAATAAAATATCCACGAGAGAGGGCAATTTCTCACACAGTTTAACACACATTGAGAGACCAGATGTTTATTTCGTTTCATGTCATATCCAAGTGGAATTAATATCTGCATGATTTTGCAACTGGTAAAAGAAATTACTCATAAACAAAAGTTTTCCAAGAATTGCAACCAAAATTAACCAAATTTGTTAAAGCATTTATGTAGCAAATATAAGTCATGTGAACTACTAAAAAAGGGAATCAATAAACTGATGAAGTGTGAGAAAGGGAATTAATCGATCAATGAAATCAAAGAAATGAACCTTTTAGGAAGAGAACATGAGTTGAATGGCTCTTGCAGAATCCTATTAATGCAAAATAGAAGTTAGATAATTTCCTTACCCACTCCACAGGACAACCTGTGTGGTCCTGTAGAGCACCCAAGATTCACATGTCTTGTCAAAAACTTTATAAATTGATTTGCAAACTTTAAAATGATTGAAAAAAAGATGAAACAATGTCCACATTCCCTTGTTTGCAGTGAATTAGGAGTATGCACTTACTTGCATTGGAATTGCAGATGAAAACTGAATTGTATTAGAGTACTCGAAAAAGGAATTAGATTTTTTCCTTAAAGAAAAAAGGAATTAAATTCGCTATTTCGTATTCTCTCATCAATATCATATACTATCTACTACCACCACCATGAAACCACCAATTTATATATCTAACTTACAGAATGATAAGCACCTATTTCTCAGTTTCACCAGTTTATTTCAAATGAAGGAAAGCTAGCTACTAGTACTTGCAAATGATATAGAATCCATAAAAAACACAGAAGCAGCAACATATAAACAGGTAGTCAACGCCTAAAATTCATCAAATCTTTTGTCTTGAACAGGTTAGATTAATGCCAACTCCTCTAAGTGTCTAATCAAGTGAAGAAAAAAAAGGATATATTGAATCTTAAAAAAGTTTCCGATAAATATTTAGGCAGATATATAAAGCTTATGGGCAGTTCTGAGTGGAATTTAACTTGAGGAAGTGAACATCAGTTCCACATATCCCAAAAACTTTGTGTATCATATCATGACAGAGCTAATTCTTTTGAGCCATAATATCAGGAACTGCAAAAATAAAATGACACACAATAGTTAAACGAATTTGGTATTCGACAAAACAAAAGACCGATTGATTTGGTCTAGACCATAACTGGCCTTTTTCTACCGCCTGACTTGAGTATGGAAAATATTATATTTTCAATCGCCTATGACAAGATAAAGAGGCTTATGGAGGCCAAACAAATAAGTTGTTACTCTTACCTTCTAATACCTACTAAATTCCATAATAAAATGTTACTTACAGTGATTCCTTTGCGCAGAAGCAAGCTCCAAGTTTAGATGGTGAACGCTTACTGATACCGAACAACTGAGCAAGCTGGCGATGAAATGGTGGTAACCGGAAAAAACTACCTCAATTATAGTAGCCTGAGCACACGTTCTGTAAGCGACCATCGGATATTCGAACCTGACGGCACAAACCTCCAGTTCTCTGCAAATTTCTCATTCGATTTTCGTCGACATTGTTGCTGATTTGAATCAGCGGCAACAAACATGAGATTCCTCAGGGCCTTTAGAAAAGAAGAATGGCTGCGAATGAACCAATTTCAGGGAGAAGCATAAGAATAACTAGAATTTGGGGATTTATTGTTGAAGACATAGAAGAGAAGTTGTGAATTTAATGCAAGGGAACGACGAAGGTGACAGCATCTGTTGAGATTTGCAGTCGAGTGGCTGGAGATTGGAGAATGAAGTAGCGGCGGAAGAGAACGAATTTCAAAAGCCGCTTCTTTTTTTTTTTTTTTTTTGTTACGAAAGGTGGTAAGGAAAGCATTAAAAAGAGAACCCAAATTTACTAGGTCCAATCTGCCATTAGTGATTACAGAATGAGAAGGGTAGTAAGAGGCCCATTTAGCTAAGTTATGAGCAACTTCATTTTTGGGCATTCTTCTTGATGAAGAGGATAGCAGGCTTCATGCTCCACCCGATTAGCTTGTCATCTCACTACAAAGCTTCAATAGCAATCTTAGGAGTCATAACATATCATAGTTCTTTAAAGATTAGTATCGCGCAATTTTTCTCATAAATGAATTTTAAATAAATTTTTTTAAAATTACAATCTTCGTTTTAAATGACAACATCAACGAAGAATTTATTTTTAATGATAGTTGTATTATAGGTTTTATTGTATAATTTTATTTTCCTAAAACATTTATGATCTCTGTATCATATTGAAAAAATATCCATAATCTCTGTATCGTATTGAAAAGGATTGCTTCCATTTTGATTAATTTCTGTTCGAGATTTATTAAGTATATTTGCGGAACAATATTAAAATGTGCATCATGAATACATTTGTTTCTCTGAAAATAAACATAGTTAGTCATAATAAACACATATAGAAAGTTTTTTTCTCATTGATGAGCAACTTATGTTTCTCTTATTAGTATAAAAAGAAAACAGGTGATTCAGTTTTCAACAAATAATTATGTTAATTTATCAATAAGAATACCACAATTAGAGGTCATCCACATATTTCTAGTACGATGACACTTCAGGAAGATATGATTATAAAAATCTTTCTTATTTTCACAGAAAACATAAGATTTTTCAACTAATGAAAGGTTAAAGATTACACTCAAGAGACATTTTCTGATAATTTTTTACTAAATATTTTATGTCTTTCTTGCATCTTTGGGCTTTAGAGGTTCTTCCAGACTAAAAAACCAGCAACATTATTTTTAAACAGAATATATAAAATTGCAATGAATATGATAGGTAGATACCACATCAAATCTTTTAGGTTAAAAACCCAATCTAGCCTATCTTCCTCCAAAATGTTAAGGAAGACTTTAATTTTAGAAATCTATCAGCAATCTTAAGAGTAAATAGTTGACACATAAGGTTTAAATTTTATTATATTTTATCTTCGTTAAGTGGCTATTCACAGTAATATAACCTATAACACTTGAGGAATTAGGCTCGAAGCCTTTAAGGGGTGAAATCTATAAGTCCAACCACATATTAGTCCTCGCAACATTAGTAATTTACTTACAACATCCAACAAAGAATATATTTTTATTTTATGTAATCTGTTTTAGAACTGAGAAACATTTGATTTTAGAATTGCTTGCACTATGTCCATATCTCTAAGGTATTTGGCCTCGATAAGGTCAACCAATGGTTTATTGAACCTCCACTGAATTTAACAGGTCCGCTTCTTCAAGAAAGCAATATTGAATTCCTTAGCTCTTATGAGACCAAGCTCACTCGCAAATTTAGGTCTACAAATTTTATCTTAGCTTAAAAACATGTAGCCATGGCACAGATTATCCTTGATTCTCCACTAGAATCTCTTAGAGATCTATCAATAGCATTTAGGATTTTGGTGGGGAGCACAAATAAGAAAGTAAAGTAAGTATGGATAGAATTTAACATTGATTTGATCTATATGGCTCTCCAGGTAAAGAAAAAAAGATGGTTTATCTATCTAGTAAATTATTTTTTCATCTAACCTAATAAATTTTAAAAGTTGGCAATCTTTTTATTTTTTTATTAAAAAAAGAAAGCCCAAGGTGCATAGTCTAGCCAACTAAGCACTTGAGACTAAAGCTTTAACTCCATTTGATTTCAACTCCACTTACTTAGATTGGGGAGAATAAAAATAAAAATTATTTGGAATAAATGATTTTGTGAAATTCTTTTTGGAACTAATATTTGTTTTAAGAACTAAGTTGAATAATTATCCTAATCTTTTACTATTCATTTTCAATTTTGCCTATGGTATATTAATTTTTGCACTTATAAAAAGTTCAATTATTTTAGTTAAATACTTGACTTTTTATCTTTCTTCAATCAATCCTTTTATTTTATTTATATATTAGAATAAATACATTTTTAGTATGTCATTGCTATGTGGCAATTATATTATCAATTTACAACTATCATATAGATTAACTTGTTTCATTTAAAATTTTATACAATGTCAAAAGAGTCAACATGACCCATTTGAAGACCATCTCTTTTAACTCTATTTATTCTTTTACCTTTCCATCTTGACAACGTAAATACATTTCATTTAGTTTTCATGCAAATTTTTTATATATTTAATGTATACGATACCTATGTAATTAGTTTTTAATATAGATGTCATGACGATAATATATCAAATCTTCTATTTATTTTAATGGAATTGACAAATTGAAAGATTGTTTTGAAAACAAAATGAAAAAGTTAAAAACTTGATTGCAACAACTGAAAGGTTAAGGACCAAATTAAAAAAAAAAAGAATTAAAGGTGATGCACCATATTTACAATTAAGCAATTTCTTTAATAAGATGAAATACAAAATGATAAAGAAAATAATTTTTAGCAAAATTTAACGACGTAAATTCATCTTATTATAGTTAAAAAAAGATATAAATTTTAAATAGATTCCATAAATAAACTTTATTTATTCTAAACATAGCCAAAGTAGGAATTTACTTAATTTGGAGAAATATATTTTTTTATTACAAAGAAATGTTATACAGACATTGTTACATATGATTAGGGTTTTTTTAATAGAATATAATCCTAAATAAATTATGAAATCTTAATTAGTTATCCCAATTTGGAGTTAATTGAGATTTAAGAAGGATGCTAAGAGTATTTGGCTCTAGTGCTACCTATAGCCATTTGTGCGGAACATGCAAAGGATTATATACCCAATATGACAAAAGATGTAGCCTTTAATAAAAAGAAGGGTCAAACATAATTACTAAACAAAATTTTGCTTCACCTCATGATCTTT